AAATGATGTGGTAGTGCATAGTACTTTTGGAGTTAAAAAGACAATTTTTTTCATAGAGCCATCCCAAAGTGAAAAAGTGAAAATGAGACATAACCAAAATAAAACCCATTGCCGACGGGAAAATGAATAAAAAATGGGGAAAATGCTGTGCTCATTTTTAATTTTTTTTCATGAAATGTCACTACACATAGATGACTCTGCCTTATCTGATTTCACCTTTCCTTGAATTGGTGGGAAAATGTATTTTTACTAGTGCTATGAATGTCGATGGTGTTATTTTTATTATAAACATTTTAAGTACTCTAATGTTATAAACATTAGTAATAGCAAAATAAGATAACGTAAAATATTTTTGAAAATTAAAGAAAAGGGTGAACGGGCGAGACAGGCATCACTCGTAATTGGCTCATTGGTGTACTTGGTACAAGTGTAGCCATCTATGTGTAAAAACAATCTAATGAGTAAACTCACAGTGTGCATGACATGGCATGCCTGTCGGCAAAGGGTTAAAGACTTATTTATATTTGATAGTACAAGCTGTGGTTGAATACACTTTTGCAGTAATAGCCATATATGAGTTTAGCTGCCTCAACTGTGGATAAATTCATTTCACAATGAAAATGTAACTTCAAATTTTCTATTAATTGTCATCAACGATTGTTATGTAACAAAATATTTTGTATTAGATATTTCAAATTTTACATTACAGATACATGGGTATTGGTTTGTCAGCACAAGGTGTGAACATGAATAGATTACCTGGTTGGGACAAAAATTCCTTTGGATATCATGGTGATGATGGTCACTCCTTTTGTTCCTCTGGCACTGGCCATGCTTATGGGCCAACATTCACAACAGGTATGGAGGATGCTCTTTTAATCTACATTAGTTTTACATTCTTTTTACTTGACATTCATTTTCCTGTTCAAAAGTTTATGATTTTGTAGTATGTTATAGCTTCTGTGTTATATTTTTTTTTCCTTTTTCTTATCTTGCATATAATTAGTTATCATTTGATAGTCAGTGATTAATGCAACTGATCTCAGTGAACTTAAGATCAAATTAAATTTAAAAGTTGCAGTATATGTAGCCAAGACTATATTTATGTGAAGAAGTTAAATTATTAATGTGTAATTTGTAGCAAAATATTTAAAATTATTACGTTCTATGAACTACTAATTCTTAATTAGTTGTTTTAGGAAGTAAAACATTCTTTGTTGAAAAATGATCTGCATTACAGGTGATGTTATAGGCTGTGGTATCAACCTCATTGATAATGTCTGTTTCTACACAAAAAATGGTCATTACCTGGGTGTAGCATTTACAGATTTACCTGTAAGTATGATATTTAACTGTTTACTTGAAAATTGAAAGGGGTATCTTTGTTTATATTAGAAATTTGGGAAAACCTCTAGATTATTCGTTTGATTATAGTATAGTGTTGCTCAATAAAATCTTTGAGTAACATCATTTCTATGTATATACTTATCCTGTTTCTGCTGGGCCACGCCTTGCCATGTCGTGACAAATTGGCTGTACGCCAGGGTGATGAGCCAGAGCAATTTGAGTGGGGTGTTCCGTGGGATGTAGTGGACTCCCACGCTCAAAGGTGGCTTGTTCCATTAATCTCTAGTGTAGAATTTTTATTTTCTTCACCTGGCAGAAACGGGTTAAATCAAACACCTTTATGTTAATGTGTGTGTGTGTGTGTACATGCATGTGCATGTGTGCGCGTGCGCGTGTGCATGTGCGTGTGTGTGTGTATGTATGTGCATGTCTGTGTGTGTGCGTGTCTGTCTGTGTAAACATGAAAATGTTGATGTATGTACACATACATACATGCATGTATAGTTTAATAATTTTGATTTTGTTGAATGCTGTTAAACTAATTTTTCTGAATAATTTTCTCATTTTCTTTCAGCCACATTTATATCCCACGGTTGGGTTACAAACTCCGGGGGAAGTTGTAGATGCTAACTTTGGACAGGCCCCTTTTGTTTTCGACATTGGAGAGATGAGGAGGGAGCTGCAGTGCCGTGTGAGAACAACTATCCAAAACTTTCCCGTCCCTGACACTTATGGGCAATGGCAGACAATGCTCCACAGGTATTATTTACTTGACTTCTGTAGGACAAGTCATGTCCATTCTAGGGCCGAGAACAAGAAGGGCCAATGTCATAAAAGTCAATAGCAAGAAAAATTGCATTAGAAAGTTTGCTCTCTTCATTGAAATTCAGCAAATATTTTTTTTTTGTTTTTTTTTCTGTGACTAATCAAACAGTGTTACATTAATCTAATCCTTTTGAAGAGTTTATTTACATGAAGAAAATAACCATTTTTCATTAAAGCAAATATATATATATTTTTTTACTTTTTAATGCTTAAAAATGAATATTGTACTTTGTGCTTATTAATTAATAAATTAAGACAATTACTGCAATTAATATTTAAATCATTCCTTCTGATTGGATTTCTAATGGTTTTTCTACCATTTTATGGCTTAACCCCTTAACCCATTGCCGTCGGGGAAAATTAATAAAAAAGGGGGAAAATGCTGTACTCATTTTTTATATTTTTGTGAAATATCCCTGAACATGTATGGCTCTGCTAGTCCTGATTTCACCTTTCCTTGAATTGGTGGGGAAAAACGTATTTTTACTAGTGCTATAAATATAGATGGTGTTATTTTTAACCCAATGACGCCGGGTGTACAAAAGGAAAATAAAACTCTACGCTCTGGCAAACAAAGGCAGCGCGCCGACTTTGAGCGCAGGAGTACGGGGCGTCAGCCCGAATCACTGGCTCGCCGCGCTTTGGCGCGCCGCCGGCTGGTTTGGCCGCACGCCACCTTTCGAGCGATTTGTTTACACGCGTATCGCCGTCACCCGGCGGCAAGGGGTTATCAGCAAATTTGGATAACGTTAAATATTTTTGTAAATTGATGAAAAAGGTGAATGGGCAAGACAGGCAGTTCTCGTAATTGGCTCATTGGTGACTTAGTACAAGTGTAGCCATCTATGTGTAAAAACAATCAAACAAGTCGACTCACAGCGGGCATGGCATGTACGTACATGCCATCCCTGGCGGCAATGGGTTCATGATGAAAAAAAAAAAAAAAAAAATCTATGCTCTGGAGATCAAAATCGGCATTTTTAAAACATCAGCCCTTCTAGCTCTCAGCCCTATCATTTATCAGCTGCCCATATGTTGACCAAAATCTAGGCTTCCCTGAGTGGCAGCTCTGCTGTTTGTGTGGCTAGTAGGCATAAGCCACATGAACACCCATGTATGGTATCAAAGCTTCTTGCCTTCCCTTTGCAATGTTATGATCTTTTTTTCTGCATAAGTATTTTTTGCTTTTATGCCATTTTCTAAAATTTACATTTGTCTTTTGATATGCTGTATCATGATGATAATAGACTGATTTTGTTGTGCATACTCTGGTATTCCTCTACTGTGCATTTCAGGGGCCTTGATTTATTTTTTTTTACAAATATTTTACAAATCAACAGTCAGATCTGTCTGGTACTTTACTACTATGTTTCATACCTCACCTTGATTATCATCGGCGTAGGGGCATTTAAAATTTAGAGGGGGCTGCAAATTTTCTGCCTGAGTGAAAGAGGAAGAGAAATTTCACCTGCCAGAAAATTAGTGATGAATGCCACCAGTGGCGTAGATAGAGGGGGTCGGGGGGGGGCACCCACCTATAAGGCGAAACTGCCATTTTGTCGGAAAATTTCTGCACTTGTCGGAAAAATAACGATGGTTTTCTGTTTCGTTTAGTTCTAGTGGCCTTATGCTATGTTCAAAATAATCAAAAATGAGATTGTGTCAAATTTTTGTCAGGATATCTTCATTTCTCGCCTCCTCTATGAATTTTCCTATCTACGCCCCTGCCCAAAATTGCCCGCTTTCAACCAGCATTTACCCGATGGGGGGGGGCTGCAGCTGCTACTGTCAGAAATGGTGGTGATGGCTGTAGCTCTTCGCTACCTGCTGTTATGCCACAGATTGAAGCAATCTGCTGCACACAGAGAGACGTCACACTTAACACATTTGTAACAGTTCTCCTTCCTGGCATGTCAGCTGGTACAGCAGTAGTGGCTTCGATGGTACTTGTGCCCTGGGTTGAACACCTGGACATGGCCCAGAGGTACCTGAACACCATGCTGTGGGGCATTGCAGGGGTGGGAGGTGATGCCACCCCTTCTCCCGTAGGCTGGGAAAAGGAGCTGCCTTCATAAATATCATCAAGGTCAGCTGTCAGCTCAAGGTGGAACTCGAGCTGGGAGTGTGTCACACCCAACACTCTATGGACCATGAAGGCATTCACTGCTGCCATGTCAAGCAAGTGGTAAAAGATGTTCTTATACCACTTGTTGGTCTTTCTGGCAATGGAGCAAGACAAAGCAACTTGTTCGAGGATGACCTGTGGCTTTCTCCAGACTTCACCACGGTGGTTTGGGGGCAGGTTGACCATGTCAGTGCCATGAATGGTCGAAAGCATGTTGACTTGACTTGATTCCTATCCATCTATGGCATGGCCAATATCCCTGTTACTGAAGTCTGGAAATCAATGTCACCATGGACCCTCACCTTGAGAACCTTTGGCATGAACTTATGGTTCAGCTGAACTGTTCCCATGGTGATATGGTCTTCCTTGATTCCAGGTAGTGAAAGTATCAGTGAGCTGTACCACTTGTCAAGGTACAGCTTGTAACCCTTCCCACAGAGGTGGCAATCCATAAGGTTGGTGATAAACCTTCATTCCAAACCACGCCCTCTTTGTTGAACTGAATTACATGGTCGCGTCCCCTTTACACCCACAGCAATTTGTCTCCTGAAATTATCTCCCCCAGAACGTAGAATGTCTTGAAGGATACGTTGATGATATCCAGACATGCCTTCAACTTCCAAAGATGATTGGTGTCGGCCTAGGGGTCCTTGTTGTCCGAGAAGTTAAGGTGGAACTGCAAGACTTTGAACCTGTCTTGTCA